TCGCAACGAAACGCAGAAAATACAAACATGTCTGTTCATGTCTGTGTGAATCTGTATCTGAAGAAGAGGAACGTTTCGTGTTCCGTTTCACATTGTTGTGCAGCAGACTGGAAAGTTTCGGCGAGCGGCGAAAACTCTCGGTGTAATCGGTGGAAGAGGGGGAGGGAAGGTTGGGGGGGAGTTGCGACTTAGTTGGTCATGCGATAATTTCGTTAGATGCCACGCGCCGCTGATTAAACGTCTTTTGCTCCCCTTTTCCCATTCCCATTCTCTCTTTATTTTATCTCCGCACAAATTTGCATTAAAAATAGCCAAACGGTATGTGATAAATATTTGGTGTCTATTTTTGGACTCGAAACGATTCCGATTATTGACCAATTGATTGACGCCTGGCAAGTGCTAAGTGGAAGCAAAAAAGGAATGAAATGGAATGGAACACTGGTGGTCAAGGCTAAGTTACCGATAAATTGAAACAATGGAATGAAACACTCATATCAAAGTAGAACAATCCTTTCAAAATTCCTTTTTTTTTTAACAGTGGAATGGAACGCAGCCAAGGCCAGAGACGATCGTTCACCTGAAACAGCAGAATGAAACGAAAAACAAACGCAAAAGATCAATCAATCAAGGCAACTTTAACAGTTGGTAACTTTCTAAACGATATGTTGTTTGCTTTTTCCGCGCGGCCTTCTGCCAGCGGTCGATAATCGGCCTTGTCATTTGAGGGGGTGGATGAGGGAAGGGGCGGGAACAACGGGATAGGGGCAGGTGGGCGGCCACACAACTGGTTTCAATGTGCCTTACTGCGCTGGCCTCGCACACCAAAAAATCCAGCAACAAAAGAACCGCAAATGGCCAAAGCTAAAGCCGAATCGAAATCCAAGTCTCGTTTTTAGTTTCGCGTGCTTGTAAGCCGCAAAGGTTAAAAGAGCATTTGAGGCTATATATACTATATGTAAGTAGTACACCGATTAACTGAACATAAACCATAGAAATACGCGATACTCTCCATTCACCTGCACAAATAAATATAAAGGAGCAACAAAACACACAAAGGCCAATGCTTTTCCGCCATTTCCACATTCTCGCATAAATTAAATGCATTTTCTCGTGTTGCGCTATGAATTTCCGCAAAATCGATTGGCGATTCATCGGGGCAACAACCCCCTGGCACCAGCACCCCTTAATTGACAACATTTCCATGTAGAACTCAATTAACAGATTAGTTTCAACTTGTCAATTGCTGTCGATCAATACCATCGAAATCAAAACCAAAACCTGACGACAGTTGTTGATCAATCAACGAGTAAGTATCAGCAAATTCATTTCCGTCAAGTAGGTCCTAAAAGACTCTTTCTTTATATTCAAATAGAAATAGATCGAGTAAATCGTATTGTTCCTAAGTTGGGAACATGTGGAATGAAACTTTTATACCGAGATATCAAGGGACCTCATCAAAACCATTAAAAACCACCTTAAAAGCTCCACTGCGTTGCAGCTATTAATACAATTTTAGTGCCCACACATTCCCCAATAGATTTGTATGCCCCACACACCACACACAATCCTAACAATCCAATCAACGGACAACAGTCGTTTAATAGAATTGTATGCAATAAAAACTAAGTTGATTAATTGAGGCGAAAAGGCAATTCTGCGGCAGGAACAAACGGAATGGAACAGCGCGTGCTGCTAAAGCGTTGTCACACTTTTATAACCCAAGACGAAGACGACGTCGTGTGGCTTCTTGGCCAGCTTTTTGTATCCAACCCGAGTTGTTTACTCAAATATCGTTATTTTTATTCGACTTCGACTGCCGCCTTTTCATGTTCCTTTCCCTTGCGTTATAAAGCCGATTCGATTCAATTCGATTCGATTCCGTACCATCCCCTTTTGCTTTGTCATTATTATTGTACGTATTATTTTATTGCAAATTGAAGTTAAAATGTTAATTGAACGATAACAAGAATGCGACAACGTCAGCAGGTTCTTTGTGCCGCTGTATGTGCCTTTTTGAATCGAAATTAATCTCAAATTTATAAAATAGCATATTCCAAATAACCAAGTAAGTATTTTGACCGGAAGTGGATTATAAAACGCACTGTATTCGCATTTGTCATTTGGTATGTGGAGTTGCACTGGTTTGTGCCGTTGGCCGTATTCCGTATTATGTTTTTATTTTTGGTATTTACATTCGGAACGACATTTCTGGATTCCAGAAATGCCAATACCCCAAAAATGGGCGTGAGAAATCGCCAGGGGGCAATATAATTTCGATTTTGGTTGGTTTTTTTAACGCGTCATTATTAACGTCACAATGCCATAAATCCATTAAAAAAAAACATCAGAATCATGACTTGAAAATATTATTTATAAGGTGGATCATCGTGGAACGCGTGGCTCCAGAAAAACAAAAGTCAGCCGACTACGCAGCAAGTACGGAAAATCAAAGATAATGAGCGGCAACAACTGCATTTAACGAGATCGATTCGGTTTTAATGAGTCGAGAGGAGAGTACAGAAAAGGAGATCAGAAGTACAGGATTCTGGTGATTCTAGAGGGGTTCCTCTTTTAAATAAATATAACAAAAAATCTGTTAGGATACAGCTTCATCTTATTGCACATATCGTTGATATATGTACTTTATATAATCCAAATTATTTTGGTATACTTTAAGACCTGTTTATTTATGGTTTTCCGTTCGGGATACTACCATTATAATTGTTGCTTTTGGCGGCACGTCATGCAGTTTTGGCCCCCAAAAAAAGTCTGACGAAAGCAAAGCTCCCCATTCAGAAGCTTTTCGAGTGAAAAGCTCCGTGGTAATTCTCCTTCTTTGATTATTCATTCGCATTCGCCTGCCTTGAACCATTGACACATTTAAGGCGTGGGTGGGGAAAGAGCACAAAGAGAAAGAGCACAGAGAGAGCGGAGAAAGAGATGTGGAGAAAGGCGGGCTTAAGAGAGAGAAAAGTGATCGGATCGTCACACAAAAGATACAAATCTTCACAAATAAAGATACAAAAATGCAAAAGTATGAAAAATAACAGATGAGAGAAAAAGGCAATGGGCGAATTACCAGAAAAATCAACAAACAAAAAACGCCAAGCGAAACAAACGAAGAAAATTAGCAAATACTAAAACACGAGTGTGTGTGTGTGTGCAAATATTTCTTCGTCTGTGCTATTTTTATAAAAATAAAAAATGTTAAAGAAAAAGAGAAAAAAAACTAAAACGAAAGAGTGGGCAAAAACAACAACTACACATGAAGTAACTTCGACTCCGACTTTTTGCCTTTGGGGGGCAAAGAAGAAGAACGAGTGGAAGAAGGAGGAAGAGGAGGAGGTGAAGAAGGAGAGGCGGAGGAGCAGCCGGCACAGTTCATGCGAATTTTTTTTGGGAATTTTCCACTCGCAAAGCGACAGCAGCAACAACATGAATAATTCACTTTTGGCCCAACTCAACATCAACACCAGCGGTCACACTAATAGGCACTGCTGAGAGTGGAACATGTATACTAGAAAACTTGAGCCTTTGGTCACACTACGCTGACAACGTAAGAAGCGACCACACTTGATAGCTATAAAAGACTCACTTAACTCTATAATTTAATATTTAATGCGTACTCTTTATAATCAGGCATTTGTACTTTTAATTACAAAGCAAAATATTCTACTTTGGCCACATTATGCTGAGCAAACTTAGGAAATACCAATGAAAACCTTAATAATGTTGCATGATTTATATATTTGATTTTGATTTTGATTTATATAAGATACAGAGCAATGTTACCTATAAGATCGTTAGCTCTTTGAAGCTATTATTTTGATCGTGGTTGTTTTCTTTGCAACCAAACGCATATTTCAACATTGTCGCCAATAAGGAATTGCATGCACGTACTGCATCGAACTCTGAGACAGCGTAGCCCCCGTCCGCTCCTCAAGCTTTTACTACTCATTGAAGAACTTTTGCCCATAAAAGCAAATGTTGATTAGTGGAATGAGAGATGGAGTTCGCAGTTGCGGGGGGCATTGGGGAAGAGAGAGCCACCACACCAATTATTGCAGAGACGCAGCAGCCGCAGTAACTACACAAAAAACAATTCAGGTCTCTTCTTGTGGTGAATGATATGATATGGGGTAAATATGATATTACTATGAAATGCCTAATAATCATTAAGCAAATTGAAAAATAAGTGACATCGAATCTTTTAATTTATGAATCATGTTTACCATTTCAATTAAATGAAATCTTACGCAAATTATTTTGGTGGATGAATCATTAACAAAATATGTTTAGTCTTGATCGGAGAACTACGCATGACTGTTTATAAAGTTTTGAGAAATAAAAACGAGACCATAAACCAAAAACTTTTATTGTTTAACATACAAATCGTATATTATGAGATATCTAAGAGGACTCGACATTTTCTTTAAGTGAACTCTCAAACAGTAACAACAACGATACAGTAAAACAGGTTTGAAGACGACGCCGCTTCGATTTGCCACTTGTTGTGGGCCTTGCAAGGGAAAGAGAGGGGGCGAGGGAGACGGCTAGCTAGTGAGCGAGATGGAGAGATTGCAAAAACTTTTCCATTGATGAATTTTAAGATACTTCTTCTTCTTCTTCAATTTGTTAGTGGAGATGCACTAAAAACTTGACTATATGTACAATATGTGCGCAATGACAAGTGTTTTACAAAAGAGCACATAAAAAATAGGGTATTTTTGAAAGCTTTCTAGAACATTCTCCCACTAAAAATATCTCCCCAAAATAAAAATAACAATCGTAAGATATAGGCAAATGTGTGAGTGTGTTTGTTGGGTGAAGATGGACAGTATATTTCACAACGCCGTGAAATAAACTCCAATTTTTGGCCTTTTCAAGCTCTATTTTTTCGTAATTTTCTAATGGTGTCAGACAGCAAAAACAACAATGGGGCAACTAATTAGATTTCAATGCATATTGAATTCGATTTTTTTCTTTTTGGGACACATTACACTGCACACACTGTTGACACAAAAAATAAAGAAGTAATCAGGCGCGTCACGAATTTGTTTCACTTTTGTTTCGCCGTTGTTATTTACATTTATTTCGATTCGTTTCTTTTTAGTCGCTGATAAAAGTACAAATACAACAAGTGAATAGAGTCGCGGATGGCGGAATGGGTGAATGGAACGCGGCGGAACGAGAGGAGAGTACGACGCGCCTGCTCGATGGATTCAACGCGAGTGAGCGAGTCGAAGCATCGGCATCTACACCACATTCACATCCAACACTCACATCCACCGGCAGCGACGCCGGCAGCGCAGCGGCTGCTACGCCGACAGGCACAGCAGCGGCCACGACGAGAGGACAAATCGTTTATATAACAATTCGTATTTGAACAATATCCATCGTAGATAAACTTCATCTGGTATTTGGGTTACAATTTTTAACTTCATTATTTTATTTTGAACTAACTTTTTAAACTATATATATTTATAAATATTTTTGTTTATTTAAAACGAAATATTTAAGAATAATATATCAATTTTATTATAAGAGTTTATGAAACACTTCTAAGTTATTGACCGCAGCTGTATTGGAGCATTGAACGCTGCACAATGGGCCAGAAACTTTATTTTGAGGCCAGTTTTGAAAAAAAGTGTCTAACTCATAAATTTATTAACGTCGATCAATCAATTTAATGACTATAATACGTGAAGTACAAATAACATGAAAACATAACAGAATGGCAAATAACAACTTTTTATAACCAATAATGGTCAAAGTCAAGTTGATAAAAATCCAGTATTTTTTTTTCAGAGTGAATGAAGTTATTATTGACTCAAATTGACATGACCTGGCCCATTGTACGTTGTTAAGAACTGAAGAATTGATCATTGCGCGGAAAGAGAGCGGAAAAAGTCGCGGAGAGTGAACTGGAGTAAAGTGCTGTGGGGGAGGGAGAGAAATGGGGATGGAGAAAGAGAGGGGGAGGAAGAAAGAGCGCGCGCGCGAAAGAATTTCTATTCAACGGAAAGCTCATTTGCATGCGCTGCGTGGTGCGTGAGTGTGCCAGCTGCACGTGTGTGGGTACTCGCATTTATTAGTGTGCTGCACTTATGCAAAAATTAGGTAACCGATAAACAGATAAAGAGCGGAAAGAGAGTGCGCGTGTGCCAATGATTCAGCTAAACAAAAAAAAACAAAGAGAAGAAAAAAGAGAAAGACTGAATAACACATAAGTGGGAGGTGGGTGGTGAGACCATATGCAAGCAGCGTTAATGCCGAATGCCCCCAAAAATGCAGACAATTAGTATAAAGGTACCGTTTGATTAACGGGTGCCGCCCAAAAGTATGCAAGGCCCAAGGCTACAGCCTTCAATAGCAGCAGTAAAGAGGATTAGGGCTAAAAAAAACTTTTTTTTCTCCGCTATGTGTATAAATATTTAAGTTTTGATTCACATCTTAAAGCCTGTATATTGAATTTTGAAAGATTTTTTAAGCGTATTTTTCACATACTTTCCATAGATTTCAAAAGGTATCATTAACGTTACCGAAGCCCTTACTTATGCAGAATTATCGGAATTATCAGTTAACTCGTTTATCGATAGGAAACTCGTGTTTTCAAAATTGAAATATATGTTGTCTCGTTAGTCTCTTTCATGAAAAATAGCAGTCAAAACTTTTTCGCTAATTTTAGTATAACTCATACATTACACAGTGCAACATGAAAAATGTAACCGCAATTCTGATTTCATGGGCGGAAAGAACTCATCGAAATAAGCTAAAACCCATTTGGGTTTCTCTGGCTTAGCTCGCGTTTACCTATTATAGCGAGTTAAAGTTTTACATACAAAATTTATTTGTAACGGCCATATCTTGTGAACCGATTAAAATTTTACTATCAAGTCTTCAGTGATTATATAGCTATGAACCCAAGGAACTAAATTGACAAATGACTCTTGCGCACTTAGCACCTAGTGCACCTAGCGCGTTAAAAAACAAATTTGCCTAATTTTTCGATTTTTAACGCGCTAGGTGTACGTCTTCGCAAGAGTCATTTGTCAATTTAGTTCCTTGGGTTCATAGCTATATAATCACTGAAGACTTGATAGTAAAATTTTAATCGGTTCACAAGATATGGCCGTTACAAATAAATTTTGTATGTAAAACTTTAACTCGCTATAATAGGTAAACGCGAGCTAAGCCAGAGAAACCCAAATGGGTTTTAGCTTATTTCGATGAGTTCTTTCCGCCAATGAAATCAGAATTGCGGTTACATTTTATAACCCTAAAAATGTTGCACAGTGTTATTAACGTCGATCAACCAACGTCGAGTTTAAGGAAGAACAAATAACATGAATACATAACAGAATGGAGATTATCAACTTTTTATAACTACAGTAAAGCATTACTATTAATCCTTTTTTTCAATTTTTTGTCTAACATTAGCTAAAGCTAATGGTAAGTAACCAAACTTAACCAAACATATCATATGATCACTTTTAGCACTTGGAATTACCATACAGATTTAATAATAGACTGCAGACTGACTATTGCTTACCCGTTTATAGCTTAGTAAAATTATAGTCAACTTACCTGAAAATAAAAGAGAAAATTAAATTACAAATATTGCAGATATAAGAGAACTTGTTATGCTTTCTTTTCACTTAATAGAGTAGCGATTACTTTGGTGGGTGGGGGTTTTCAAAGGGGGACACTAACTATTCACTGACTGGACAAACTGGCGGTCCAGATGCTTATCCGTCGGCTGTTTCGCGGGGCCCTCGGGGGCGGGTCCCTTGAGTTTTACATCGCGGGTGGTGCTCTGTTTGGCTGCCTTCTTCTGGGTCGATATGTTTACTGTTTCCCGCGACTCGTCTTCAATTCAAAACTATCGAGAGGGTCTTTTATTCCGAAATTGCGAGCTGCCTCTTTTGATTATTTCATGAAAACCGCGCTTCGTTCTTTGCTAATAGGTTAAGAGGTGGTGTTGTTTATTGTTCAAGTTGAAGTTGGAATATTTAACGAAAGATTTGGAACAGAATTTTGACATTAAAAGCAGAGAGTGAAGTTGGCTTCTTCTTTTTGCTAACAAATCTGTATATCGGAGCTCTAGATTTTAAGTTTTTACCCAATTATAGATTTCACTATTATATTGATACAATTTCAACTTGTAAGTATTAGTTATTTTTAAATATATTTAATAGAAACCTCAATACCCCAACCGTTTATCGTTCGCACATGTTATACTACACTCTGTAGGCGGTGATAATAATATTCAAGAGGTCTGTGCCCTTGCTCGATCTTATTTCTGTCGCTCGAAAGGAATTTCATATCCTATTATACACGTACGTTTATTTAATTCGTTTTTCTTCAATTACAAACAACGTTGATAAATTATGGATTGTGGATTTGGACCAACGCCAAGTGCACGCAATATAAAAACCGAAAAACGCATTTGGGGGTCGCCGATCGAAAGACAAGCATAATCAAAAACAAAGAAAAAGAAATACGAAAATTATAAATTTTAAATTAAAGAAATAAAAATAGCAAAACGGCAGCGCGCAAAGTTTCAGTTCATACGGAATTGCATAAATATTTATGAGAACGAAACAGAAACAGAGAGACAAACGAATAGCAACTGCAAAAACATCGAAGATCGCTGCATTTGCGCTTGGTATGCAGGGTGTATCACCAACCCCCACCCACCCCGTCCCACTATGTGGGTCATTATCTTGTTTACGCCGGAGTGACGTCGGTGACGCAGCGCTGCCAGGGAGAGCGGCGACTACTCAGCAGCAAAGTAAACGCACCGCACCAATCCGAATAAAAATCAGAATCAAAAGATCGCCAAAGAAGAAAAGCGGGCGATTAATCAATTACTACGTTTATGCGGAGATATAAAAGGTAGTTAAAAAGAGTTTTTCTCTTTCAAATTATACATTTTAAATAAAATGGCTCGCTTATGTTAAAAAAAAAAAGTTAATGTTAATGTTAATTAAAAATTATCTGATTTTTTTTTTTAGTATAACTCATAAATGTATTAGCGCCGATCAACCAATTGAATGGTATAATAATACAACAGTAATCTCTGATGAAGGGGTAAAAAAGTTTATTGTTTCAAAACAACAATAAAAAATCAATAAAAATCCAAGAACATATAAAAAAAAAAAATGACAACGTGTTTTAGGCGCAATTTGCAATTTTTCGTGCCGCATAAACGTAAGTGGTTAGTAAAGACAGGTGCATGAGGAATGCCTGAAAAAGCTCCTGGCACGTGGGCAGCGAAAAGAAAGGGGCGGCGAGGTGCGTTGTTCAGGGTCCAATGAGGTGGCCACTGCAGCCAAATCGAATTATGAATCGAAATTAAACGAGTGGGTGGTGGGTGGTTGGTGCGAAGTGACGCGACACAACTGGAAAAATGCATCCCAAGTACTGGGAAAGCCAATTCGAAATGGAAACGGAATAGAGCGCAATCATTTCATTTCATTTGCAAATTGCAATGCCAAGCAATGATGAGATGATGGCTTCCACCTTGATCAATTCGTTAACGATGATTCACGATAGAGACCTCAACAGTAGCGACTTGATTTATCTATTAACAATAATACGCTAGATAATCAAAAAGTTTGGTAATTTTATAGGCGGTAAGTAGATGGAAATCACCTAGTAAGGTCTTAAGAAATGTCCAAATTAACTATCTTTTCCATATAAAATTGTTTAATGGACTTCTTGGGTTACAAATTAAATATTTCTCAATTTTTCTGTAGAAATATTTAATATCCATTACATTTTCGAAATGATAGACCACATACAACACATACTAACAAATTGATTGCCAATCGAATTAGGATTAGCCAAGTACCCAAGTTTCCTAGCAGGAAAACCCTACATCATTATTATTGTTATCATCATTATTATTAACTCGAAAATATATATCAAATCGATAAGCAGCTTAAATCTGTAAATGACCAAAAATTCGTAGGGATTGTTTTTTGTTTTCCCCGATTGCCTTAACTTCTCCTCATGTTTTGTTATCAATATCATCATTATTATTATCTTCATTATTATTATCTTCATTATTATTATCTTCATTATTATTATCATTATTATTAACTCAAAAACATATATAAAATTGATAAATAAGTTAACAGATCCAAAAATTTCTAGGGATTGTATTCCTCGATTGCCTGAACTTTTCCTTATGATTTTTGTTGTTGTTTATTTATGTTTTTATTGTTTTATC